TTATGAAGTACATATATGGCTATAATATATCTCAAAATTTAGTAACTAGTTGATAATACCTACTTGAGTGTACATAGCCAATACACTAAGATGCGGCTATGTGCACTCGAGTGCACATAGCCACTTCCTATTTATATCTCTAGATACATAGTGACGCAAATACTTTTTTCTCTAATAGTTTTACAGCTTCTTTCTCATATGCAGGAAGAATGCTGGTTTAATCTAAACTTGTTCGACAGTCTTACTCTAATATACTCGTGAAGAACTTGTGGTGCGATTTTGACTATCACACAATCTCACACGGATGTAACAAAAGCGATACTTTTGTGAAAAAAAGAAAATAATTAGAAGGAATATCTTACTCTAGTAAAGTTGTCTGTTGTTTTCTCTAATTTGTCTTAAGCTGTCAGTTTTTTTCATGTAGACATAGTCAAGTAGAATCTCATTCTAATTAATTGGTTTTCTCAAAAAGGTCTTTTAAGAACGCTGATATTTTAAAAAACTAACTTCCAAGAAACATTCACAAAAGAATAGAATTCATTTATTTCCTTGCAAATAAATGAAGTAAGATTGGCAAAAATTTATTCCATTTGTACTGTGTCACGTCGCTAACGCTAGCTTCCTTTCAATAGCTTCTTTTAACAAGTCACTATAAAGCTAATTTTGGTAATTTCTGTGCAACTCTTTCACATAAGTATCTCTATAAAAATCACCTCTAATGAGAGCTCCTTTGCAAACATATTCATGTTTCAATTTTACGCATTTAAGTTGCTAACGAATGATTTTACCCATATGATTGTTTTTCAACGATGTATCTTCTTAGACCAGTTTTAGAAAGGTGGATATTCAAACAGTTAAAAAATACAAATATTATTGAATTATTTACATCATTTTAATCACTACCATTTCCAGCAAATAATTCATAAAATAAAAACAATTCAACTAAGTATTAAGCAACAAAAATTATTTAATTTAAACGATGATGATTTACAATTCATATCAGATGATGATGAAATTTATCTTAGTCAACTTACTGGGTCAGTTCCGAATAAACAACTTGAATATAACGAAATTTCAAATGATAAGAATGAATTAAATAATATATTGCTACCAAATAATAATGATACATTGTATGAAGCAATATCAGATGATGATAATGAAAGAAATTTACCATTACCATCATATGATAATGACTTATATGTTAACAGCCATAATATGGTTGATGGTGTCAGTGATTATGAACAACAACAATCTTTCAATAAGAAACTTCAGTTATATAGAGGAACACGGTCAGCTGAAGCTCGAAAACGACGAAATCGAAAAAGAAATCTTTATTTCCAAATGCGACGTTATAGATATTTTACTACTCGTTCATTCTACTGTAGATTTACAATCAAATTAGTTCGGCACATTCTTGCTAAATATAATATTCATTATATTCATGTGAAATTATTTGATGATTTATTAATTATTGATGTAAAAAACAAAATAATTCAACAACAATATGAACGAAGAGTACCCGGTGATATATTTCATAAACATTATTATTACCTGTTTCGTCATGAAGCTTGATATTTCTGAAGAAAATCAAATGATGCATAGGATTAAACAACAATACTAAATATTGTTTTTTTTTCTATTGTTGTTTTTGTTTCTTCGTTATCAAATTTTTCTTCTTTCCTTTCATCTCTTTCAAAAAAAATATGTATTTTGTAAACAAAAATTTTTTTCCTTATCGGGTAAGATTGTTATGATATGATATCTACATCTTTATAATTGTTTAGTTTTTTCTTTCTTTCGTGCCATCTTTTCTTTTGTTCTTCTCTACCTTTTTTCTGATATATATATATATATATGTGATACACCGAACTAGGGTGATTTTAAGAATAAAAAGTTGTTTTTCATTCATTGATCTCATGTTTGTCCTTAACTTAATAAAAAGGAAAATGTAAGTATTAAAATTCCTCTGATTATGTATGGAATCAAGAGTTGAAATATCTAGCATGATCGTACAATCTTTAATTAAACGTAGCAGTGCAATACTTTTTTGAGAAAAAGGTAAGAGAATCCACAGGATGAATGCTATCTTGTGAATAATCGTAAGACGTGAGAAAATTGTTCGGATTGAGCTGACTAATGTGCACCATATATGCATGAGTTATCAGACAATGATTTTCAAAATGAATAGAATGGATTCAGCCGAGAGTCAAACGAATCATAGTGACGAGAGTTACTTTTTAATAAATATGAGAAAAATGATGCATGATAAATAGGAAGCAATGTGAAAAACATGGATAAAAATGATTTGTCTCTTTGATAAAACTAATTGAGCATCAATAAACTTAACGAGGGCCTCCATAACCACCAGGATATGTGTCCTGTGGACGACCAATCATACCATCATTGTTAAGATCAACATGGGTTGTTTTTTCGATTTTGCTTTGTATGCCTAGTCAATGATAAAGGATAATATTCGCCATGAAAGCATAGAAATATATCAGAGATATTCACCTTCACCACCAATATATCCATCTGCATTAAAATCAGCGCCGTATTGCTTTTCAGCATTTTTCTCGCCTCCAACAAATCCATCCTGATTGAGATCGAGTCCGGTCTTTTTTTCGAGAGTATTGTTAATGAAACCTAAACAAAATGTGAAAACGAAGATTCGGTTAATTTTACTTTTTGTACAGTGAAGAAAATGTTTACAGGTAAAACCTACTCATGATCGTCGTTTGATTAGCGTATTTACGAATAATGAAGAAACTCAACGAAAGTATAAAAGTATATAAATATGGTATTTTTTTCGTTTACTAATTGCAAAGAAATAACGCTATTATTTGGATATAGAAAAAGAAATACCTATTTTTCTCATTGGTTATTTATATGAATGTATACATCGTTTTATCATTCTATCGTCATAATTATACCTTATTCGATCATAAACATCATACTGATAGGATGATACATACGTATTGTGAACACGTGGTCATCGTTAATAATGAATATCATCAACATATTCATCTTCATGCAAAGGTCAATGATTATGTAATGATCATCAATTAAACATTATAATTCGATTTAGAAATTTGAAATAAGAAAACACTAAATCATAAGAAAGAATATGTCACGTATCTATTTGTCATGAATTCTAACTGAAAATTGCTTTCAGAAATGTAATTTCGCTTTTATTGTAATCATAAGTCCAATCATAATTTTATTAAAGTTATTTAGAAAATACAACCTTTAAGCTTATCGATAGTTTATGACTGCAAAGAAATCATACAAAATACTTTAATCTAGAAAGATATAGCTTCAACAAAAGGAATTCCATATGAAGAATCGTTCAATTTCAAAATGAGGATACTTAATCTTCAGTTCAACGACACTTGTATCCTAACAGAGATGAAATACTCTTGATGATTTCTGAGCGTTAAATGTTTTTCTTTTTTTCTCTTTCTGTTGTTCGAATTTGATTCTTCAAGCTGTAAAGATTCTCTTTTTTTTCTTTATGTTCTATTTGAAATGGCTGAAGCATATGACACTGCTTG